GAGCATGCTTCAAATGTACTTGTTATCACTGATAATCTGGTATTTGGCAGTGTCCATCACAAGGTCATATGAGATAAACTTATAGGCAGATTGACATACGAATTTATCTTTTTGAAAAGCTTGTTTTACTTTATTCAAAGTAATTTGCTAAATGCCATATGCATTTAGCCAAAAATAGCTAAAAATAGTTGGAAATTGCTGAAAGAGTTGAATAACTGAATAATATTGTACACAATAAAAGATACGTGCCAAACCACTAACAAAATAATATGATCCAGAGTACATTATTTTAAAATAAGATAGTCTATTCTAAATAAGATTAATTGCCATCCAAACATGTCCAATAACATATTATATAATGTTTCCCTGCTCTCTCTCTCTCTCTCTCTCACTCTTGTTTTTTTTTAGGTCAGGTAGCTGATGTGGCCCATTTAGATCGCCTATCCGGATCAGGACCAGTAGGTGGATGATTCACCCCATTGCTCCATTTATCAAAACACTGTAAGAAACAAAGTGAACCATAGGATACTAAGTGCATGCTACTTTTGCGTAAGACAATAAGTCAAGGGCTGACAGAAAGGTTGAAACTGGTAGGTTGTCAGGAAATAATTGGGTACGAAGGATTATCTAAGTTAAGGCTGGTACCTAATTCCTAGTCTAACCTCCTAGGACTCCTATTTCTACCAAGAATCCTAACCCAAGTAGGACTCCTAGCAAGATTCGGAAACCCAACTCGATTAGGACTCCAACTCCAATTACAACTCCCAAACCAACTAATACTCCTATCCCTGATTGACTTCCCATCTCCATGCCAGCCCAACAAAGGTTGATACACTTGTGTATGGTCTAATTACACGGGTCCACATAACAGTGCAGTGACAACCAATAGCTCACAACATGCGAGAGCCAGCGATGAGGAGTTAAAGATTCTAATGGAGGGGAAAATTATTCTTATTTTTAATTTTTATGCAATTTCAAAGGATGTATATTATAGTTTTAGCTTTGGGGTTTATTTCTAGGGGTTTTTAGTCTTTTTAAGGATTCTAAGGTTTTTATATTTCTTTTGTAGTACTATTCACATGTACTATTTACGAGTATTGTTCACCAGTACTGTTCACAGGGGTAAAACTGTCGTTACAAATTTGAAGTTTAAGTTAGGATAAATGAGTCAACATATTATTGGTTTGGACACTTTTGTACTAGGAACATTAAATAATATTATAAAGAGGTGCATGGAGGCCTAAGAGAAGGCAGTCACGTGATTTTCCAAAATTAATAAAAACAAAATCTTAGGCTTTTGTAACCCTAGCTTGGGTGTGGAGAAGAAACCCTAGGTTTCTTTGATTTGTGCTTGTGTTTAGCTTTGTTTCTTGCTGATTTTACTGTTTTCTCAAATTTTTCTGCATCAATTTAGTATCAGAGAGTAGGTTTTCTTCCACAACAAAGCCAGAAAACTACAACTAAGTCTACGGTTTGCTAATTTTGGATCACATTTTACCGAATCAGCCTAGATCTTGTTGTTTTCAACGAGTTTTTGTTGAATATCTATCTAGGGTTTGTGATTTCGGGAAACCAGCGATATGGGATCGTGGAAGGGGGGTTTTCGTAGATCCACTTTGTGATTTGAGAGATGACAGAATTGAGGAACTTGAAAGGCAAGTTCAACAGCAAACACAGCAGTTCGCGAGCCTCAATAATAGGCAAGACGGTGATCTTTCATCCAAAGGGAACTCGAGTACAAGCCTTTTCACTTTCGTGCTCCGCGTGAGGAGTCGAGTGATGAAAGGTGATAGAAGACCTAGACATGGGGAACATCACTCTAGGGTTTTCCATTTGATGGAGTACATTCTTGATTTTGACACAAACTACATCAAAAATCAGCAAGTTGTAGATTGGGATTCATCACCGATCTTCGATAAATACTCTAATGACCAAGAAGATCGTTTAGGAAAATCCAATTTATGATAAGAATCAAGATGATAATTAAGATATTTTGGAAGAGGGTGAAGAATATGGAGAGAAGGCAACACGAGGAATGATTCATCATTAATATCAAAGAGATGAAGCATTCAAGAAATTTAGGGTATGACCCTTAATAGAGCAGAATGGCGGATCAAGATTCGTGTAGCCGACTCAATTAGTTGGGAAAAGGCTTTGACAATGATAGAAAAGGAGTAGTAGATGAAACGTGGTCACCTCATAAACTACAAATTGTGGTTCTGATTTTAGGAAGTAATGAAGTAGATGCAAAAAAACCTCTAAAGACCAGAAAATTGGGTTTGACGTTTCCAAAATGATTTTCAATAGAAGTTCAAGGATAGCCAGATTTGATAAATTTGAATTGATTCGTCCATATGAATATCTGGATCTGTTTCTTAAGGAATTCTTTTTTACCACAAATAATATTTTAGCCAACAAAGAAAAAGAAAGTTGAAGAATGTGGTTTTGATGTTGAATTCATCTTACTACACTTCAAAACTCAATGACAAGTTTTCTCCAGCCAAGAGAGAATGATGAAGGGCAAAATTATTCTTATTTTTTAATTTTTATTCAATTTCAAATGATGTATATTATACTTTTAGCTTTGGGGTTTATTTCTAGTTTTTTTTTTGTTAGGGATTCTAGAGTTTTTATAGTATTATTTATTAGGTACTGTTCACAGGGGTAAAAGTATCATTACGGAGTTTAAGTTCGCTCAAGGATAATAAAGTCACTTATAGCCATAAAAAGCAAGAAAACCCTAGAAGGCCATTCAACCACAAAGTCAGGTGGTTAGCTCAATAATAACTACGTGACAAAGGGGAAAATTATTTTTATTTTTTATTTTTATGCAATTTTGAAGGATGTATATTATATTTTTAGTTTTAGGTTTTACTTCTAGTGTTTTTTTTAGTTTTTTAAGGGTTCTAGTGTTTAGTTTTTATTCATTTCATGAATTCTATTCGCAAGTAGTGTTGTTCATGAGTATTGTTCATAGGGATAAAACTATCATCACAAATTTTAAGTTTACGTTAGGATCTATGGGTCAATGTATTATTTGTTTTGACACTTTTTGTACTTGGAACATTAAATCATAATATATAAGAGGTGTGTGGGGCTTGAGGGGGTGACTCCACATGATTTTTAGAAATTGAAAGAGACAAAAACTTAGCCTTTTTGGAACCCTAGCTTGGGGTACAGAGAAGAAACCCTAGGTTTCTTTGAATTATGCTTGTGTTTGACTTTCGTCTCTTACTGATTTTAATAGTTTCTCAAATTCCTCTACATCAATTTGGTATCAGAGCTTGCGATCTGTACGGAAGGGGTACTGTAGCAGTGTCCAGAAATTATTGTAGCAATGCACAAATGGTACTATAGCAAAGATTTTCGGTGTCCTAGATCAACAACAAAGCTAAGAAGTTACAGCCTGGTCTAGGGTTTGGTATTTTGGGCAAAAGTTTGCCACAATAACATAAATATTGCTGATTCCAGCACTTTTTGTTGCCTATTTGCATGGGGTTATGATTTCAACGAACCCATGGCAACAGGAAGGGGCCGTAGAAGTGGGATTTACGTGGATCTGTTCCGTAATCCCATAGATATTGAGTAACTTGAAAGGCAAGTTCAGTAGCGGACGCAGCAGTTCGCGAGCCTCAATAATGGGCAAGATGGTGATTTTTCTGCTAAAGGAAATCTCAAGTAAAAGCCTTTTCACTTTCGCACTCTGCGTAGAGACTCGAGTATTGAGGATAGTGACAAAACGCCTAGACGTTGTGAACATAACTCTAGGGTTTTCAATTTGGAAAATGAGATTCCTGATTTCAACATAGATTGCATTGAAAATTAGCAAGATGTAGATTGGGATTCACCTTCAATCTTCAATGCATACTTAGATGAAGAACAAGATCTTGTAGGAGATCCAATCTATGATGATGACCAAGATTTCAAGGTTGAATTGGTATTTGACGTGGAAAAAGATAAAGGACTCAAAAGAGAATTGACAGACGAAATTGCTAGTTCAATCGATAATCTCAAAGATGCACTTGTGGTGTGTTCTAGAGCTGATCCTAGGCAAATTCAGCAAGGTTATATGGTTAAAGTGATGCAATTTCAACAAGATTATGTGATTAAAAATATCCTATCGACATACAGTGACCCTTTCCTCGAGGGTTTCTAAAAATCCTTTTGTTTTGATTAGTGCAGTAACCTACAAGTCCCAAGATCATATTTACGATATTCAAGTTGAATAATGTTGCCAGACTAATGCCAATTTCATCTTAGTACACTTTAAAACTCGAGGACGAGTTTTCTCCAATCAGGGGAGAATGACAGAGGGCAAAATTATTATTATTTTTTTTATAAAATTTTAGAGGATGTGTATAAAGTTTAGTTTTAGTAGGATTTTTTTTGCTTTTTAGGGATTATAGGGTTTTTATTTTTTATTTATTTCATAAATACTATTCACAAGTAGTGTTCACAGGGGTAAAACTATCATTACAAATTTTAAGTTTAAATTAGAATATATGGGTCAATGTATTATTTGTTTTGACACTTTTTGTACTTGGAACATTAAATTATAATATATAAGCGGTGTGTGGGGTTTGAGGGGGTGACTCCACATGATTTTTAGAAATTGAAAGAGAGAAAAGCTTAGGTTTCTTGGAACCCTAGCTTGGGGTAAAGAGAAGAAACCGTTGGTTTCTTTGAATTGTGCTTGTGTTTGGCTTGGTCCTTGCTGGTTTTAAGTTTAAGTTCATTTAAAGCATGAAAACAAATGCTCTTAATTCTTCTCCCATAGAACACCCTATCATTCCCCTAGTGAAGACTCTTAGTAACATGAGCATCTATAACTCAAGTAACATACGCACCCGTAATTTGCACTCTAGCGGTCATGAAAATTCTTTGGACACCATGCAGAACCAAACTCTTTCCAGAACAAACTAAAGAGTCCAATGACTGCGGCATTTTGTTGATCTTCCAAGTTTATGAAACAACTAGTGCCTAGTTAAAAATGTACATACCTGCGAACCATACTTCGAGCTTGATGGGGTTGATTTCCTTTCATCAAGAAACTTAACAAAACTCCTGACAAAATTAAAAGGCAGATTAAAATCCCATCGGAACATGAAAAGTAACAGTATATATGTTGTTCAAAATCCAGGAAAAGCTATTTCCTACTAAAACTGAGAAACTATCATCCTTCAGCTGTGCTGTTTTATATTTATAATTGTGAAAGTGATCTAGCAGAGTCAAACTGATCCTGATATGTGTTTCAAGAAAAAATCGGCTAAGAGGCATACTGTAAGAAAGCTGAACCAAATGATATCCTCAGCTATATTGTGAAGACAAATGTGTAAAGTTATCCAGGGAAAAACCCATTAAAGCTTTTCTATTCAGTAAATACCTACCATATGCCTCTTTTATCTGCTGTGAAAACCATAGGATTGCAATCAAATCCAACACCAATAACCATCCTCTCTGATACAAAAAGGACCTGAAAATAATTTTATACCAGTCAAACAAATTTAGATGATAATTTCCATCGCTACTGAACAAGCAGATAAAGAAGAAAAATAATAATGCAATTTAAATGTCTTAGCAAGCAAAGAGAGGATGCTGACCCACATCACGCAGAGGCAAATCACGGAAGGCTACAGTTTGAGCAGAGGCAGACGAACCAACATCATCAACAAAGTAGATTGTAGAATTATGTCCTGAATACATGAATATAGAACATCAAGAATGTGAGTAGAGAACTCCACGAAAACAATGAGATATAAGTTACAAAAACATAGGACAATCAATAATTGAAAATCACCTATCTAAAAAAACATGTATCCAACATCCATGCCAAGAATATTCTTTTTTCTTCGCTAAGTCATGATCATGACACCATTTATCTAGTTTGTGATTGTCTACATTCTTAAAATTTTACCTAGCATAGACGATGTGGTCAAATAGCAATTAATACAAAATTTCCCAAAAATAATGTTCAGACTGAAAGGTGGACATTGTGATCTAGCCAAGTATATACAATTAAAGTTTTTTCTTCTTTCTTTTATTCATACTGGCTAAAACACTTACAGGTGTCCAAAAATTATAACTTTAATCATGCAACTAAATACAATCTAGGATCATCTCTTGAATGTCATTACAATTATTTACAATCATGCAAAGCACAATTCATAAAATTAATCAAGAAACATTTAGCTATTAAAATTACCAAATACCTTGCCTCAGGTTACCTTCAAAGACTACGTATACCCCACACTAGATCTACTCCCTTGATGGCACACAGGATGGTGGCCCTAACCTTGTCTCATAATTCAGGAAGTCTAGGCAAAACCACTTGAGACATGGGATGGAAGAAAACTCAGGTACATAGCACAAGCTCAAGAACTATCACAAAGTCTAGGGCGTTCCCCCCTTAGGGTTTTTTACACGCTATATTAATCAAAACCCTATAAGAAAATGAATGAGAGAGAGAGAGAGAGACTTGGGGGTAACTTCCTAGCAAGGAGAGAGAGTGAAGGAGAGAGAGAGAGAGAGAGAGAGAGAGGCCAACCTTTGTTCACAAGTGTAGAGAATACACTACCAAAAAGAATATTTATAGAGAAGAGGCTAGGGTTTTGCCATCATTATGAGACTCAATCTTAACCGTAGATCTTGGAGACATGTGCGGTGAAGAGATCTTAGCCCTTCATTCCTTAGATCAGCCTTCATGATTAAAAGAATGAGCTAGAACCATTATCCCTCAGTTTCTATAACTCTATTCCCATCAAATATTTGTGTAGAGAAAATACTAAATATTTACTTACTTAATTTTCATCAATCTCTACAGTTTCCACTTTTACAACCATCATTTTTTATTTCAAACACCTATTATTTTAAATCCATCTAGAAGGCTTGCCTAACAAGCCACACAATAAAGAAAGCAAGAGGTGGGGTGTCTCACCATGTGTGGCCTATGGGTCCCACGCCCCCCACCAAGTGGGCTCCTATGTGGTGGGCCCATTAGCACACCCTCAAATTAATTTTATATTAATAAAACAAATTTTCAAAAATCAATAGATATTTCTTCTCTCTCTGAATAAATAAATCCAAACAATTTGATTATAGCTTTTTTAAAAATCTTTTTTTACTAAAATAAAATATCCAAAGAGTTCTAAAACTTCATTTTAATAATCTAAAATATAACGAAAATATAATTAAACATATAGAAATAATTTGATGGGAATTGGATCAAAAGAGTTAAGAATTCCACAAATATACTGAGGAGTCCATCTCTTCTAGAAACCACATCTCACTATCATCTTCTCAAACTAACCCAATAATCCCCACAACCCATAGGCCACAAGCCATCACAGAGGTTCATGCTTGGACTATCAAAGTCAGCCAATAAACGAAGGAGACACAATCCTAACCCATGGATTACAGGTCCCTCCCGGAAGACAAGTCCAGGCCCCTTTCTAATACAATACCTCATGGGTCCTTCCAACACAGCCCAATGTTGCAGGGAGATATTTCTTTGGCATATGTACACGACACACCCTCACCTAGAGGGCCGCTTCCCAGAGGGCTACCTAGGGTACATGTCGTGCAATGGTAATGATGAGGATTTGGCCCTTGTCCTCTCTGCTCACACTCAATCCCCTGGACAACCATCCTGGGCACAACTACTACCTCATAAATGGATAATCCCACAACAAACCCCTCATCGTTTGTACAAAAATGCCCAGGGCTATAGGTTTTAAACATCAACCCGAGCCTAGCCCCTCAAAACTCAGGAGAATCACGACATTACTAATCCCACACAATCCATCTAGACCACGCTCCCACTGGAACTATCACATCACTATAGTCATAGTTTTACATGCTCTTATAAGGCCTTTAAATGGCCACATAACCCTAAAATAGACACACTTTCCTACTTCTCATTGTGAGGTTATTGTATAAATCATTGATGTCCATGTATAAGGTGTATAATTGCACATCAATCCCGTCTTGTGTATGATTAAAAAAGAATGTCATCTTGTATAAGTTGGCCACACACATGGGATAATCCAGTGATTGGCGCACATACATAGTTAGTCCATGACCTTTTCTAAACCATTGCTATGAACAAGCGTTTAAAAGGGAATGAGCCAAGAGCTTAGAATCATACTAGAAAACATTTTCATACAGCTCATCAAGCACGTATTAAGCAAATGTAAACCAGTACATCAAAACATTCGAGTGCACACAGACTTCTAATACAAAGACTACTATGGCAACAGACAAGAATTTGTGGTAATAAAATGTCAAAGAACACATCACTAGCGCATATTTACGTCACTATCAAAAATACTATATTGCCATATCTGTAATATATATTTACATCATTAACCAAAAACTGTATTATCCTGTGCTAACTGGATCCATCAGATTTTCAAACTTCTCAAATATATAGAAGGAAAAAACAATCCCTTAATCAATTGAAACATTGTGTATTATTCAAGAAACAAAACAGTGTGTTTTTATATCCACCAACCTGCTTCAGTCAGCCTACAATGAGTTAACACCATAATCAAATTCAGGAGAAAGGAAAATAATGATTAGAAGAACAATCACTAGAACTCATATAAATTAGGACAAGTCCCTAATAGTTCCATTAGAATAGATAAACTAAAACCTGCTTACTAAAGGAGGAACTAAAATTAATAAAAGCATATTCAAATCCATTATTTCCTTGTCTTCTATCAGGTTGAAGAAAAGAGAGATCAACTAACCTACATAAGCTAATGTATTGCCACTTGGGGACCATTTCACACCAAAAGCCCAACTAAAAGAGAGATCTAACTGCAAGATCAGCTGCTTCAACAAAAATAAAATCTAGTAAGTCAGATTATTCTGGCAAAAAGTAATTTGATAAGCTTCAAGGAACCACAAGATAACAATATCATATAAAAATTTTAACCAAAAACATTCAAACGTGTACAGGAAAAACATAACAAAAATAAGCCTAATAATTCTAGATAAAAAGAAAAAGTATTAAATGGAAATGCAATTTAAGTAAATATGAATCTGAATGGGGTAAACATAGATTTGTTGAACATTACATATCATAAAAATATAGGGAGCCATAATATTACATAGTCCACACGACCATACTGCCAACTGACAGTGTAACTTAACAGAGTAAAAGGCATGTACAGGATACTTGATCCTTTGAGTAGGCAAGTAGCTATAGGTAGGCAGGTAGCAACAGTGAGCTTCATTTTGATGACTTTCCTGTTCTTTAAATAGGTCGGCTTCATTTTGATATTGGACGCCAAAATTTAATGCTTTCACATCACAACATGCTTCTACAACCTAATTATCAGTTGTAAGATAAAATCTGTACAACAACCATTTGTCTACGTGCAGCATAGATTGAATACAACAAAGGTTGGAAGGGTGATTTGGTTCAAGTGGAGATTCTAAAAGGGCAAGAAGACGACCCAAAAGGACATGAATGGAAGTAATGAGGAGATATGGTGACTTATGGTCTGACTGAGGGGTACGGCCCTTGATAGAACAGGATTTGTGTATCCAATACCAAATAGTTGGGATAAGGCTCGTATGATGATAATGATAATGTACAGGTAGAGGAGAAGCCAAGAGTATCTGTATATTCTAGAAGAGAGATTATAGATTGTCTGACTGCTCTCTATTTAGATTTTGAATTGTATGGATTTTTTTCTAACACAAGAAAAGTGAAGATCCAAGCTAGAATTGATGCAGATCTTCAACATATAGAAAACCCAGTGTTGCATTCAACATGCGCTTTGAATTCTAGATGGATTTTACATCTAATTAATGCTTTATGTATCTTATAATATCCGTGCATGCTTGTAATATTAGGTCACTGAGAGTATAAGCATTTTGTAGGATCTGATTCAGGAATCCATTCATATGCATGAACAAGTGGTAGGATTGCATAAGGACCATTAAGATACTTCTATTCATCAAGTTTCATGGAAAATCCGCTCATGTGTAACCATAGTTTGAAAACATGATATGTACACTCTATGGGTGTACCCAACCTGATCCACTACTCGGTTAATAGGGAAACATGAACCAGAATTGGTCATGCCCTTCCAGAAAAGAATGGGCTTTCAATTTACAAATAACTACAATATTATATAGAGTAAACAATATATTACATATAAATAAACAACAATTTTTTAGCACAATGTCTGTCGTCTGCTTCAAACCAAACTTTCCAAAAATCAAATGTCATTTAGAACTGAGTTCATACTGCACCTGGAATGAATGATGCACTGAATGTGTGGGACTTTGGAATGTGAATTGAGTTCATTAAGACTTGGATTTTGGACAGGGGAAGTGAACGATGATCTCAGTGACACAGCCATCTGCTGTCACGTATGTCAACTACTCCCATGTGTGTTGAGAGTTGACTACTCAGTTCAAGGGATTTAATGAGAAAATCCAAAATCGAATTGTATTAAGAATGTTAATAAATGTGCACTTGATATCCTCCTTTTAAAGCATGAAGGAAAATCCATGTACAGATCCAGGCAAGCACTAAACCTATAAAACTCTATATATCCTGTATTTCATACATAATATGAACAAAGGAGTGGAGAAATAATATATAGACAGCTATTGGCAAGTCATTAGAACACAAAAATGAAATGGCATGCAAAACACTAAGAGTACAAGTAATACACGACTTTAGCATGAAGTTGATTTGCAACTTGCATAAGACATCTAATATCTAACTAAATGGGTGTGTATGTGGGGGAAGAGAGAGCGAGAGCGAGAGAGAGAGAGAGAGAGAGAGAGAGAGAGAGAGAGAGAGAGAAGTATTATTCT